GACCTACTACTACTACTACTACTACTACTACTACTACGACCTACTACTCGTACTACGACGACTACTTCTACTACTATCACTACTACGACAACTACTACTGCTTCTACTACCACTACTATCCAAGCGACCCCACCTGCATCTGTGATGCCTGCCCGTCGATCCGCCCATTCCCGCCCGATCCTCGCCCGTCGTCCTGCCCACTCCCACTTCACCTCGCCTCATCCTTCATCCATCTCTTCATCCCCACCTCTCCTTATCTGTCTCTCCTCTTCCGTCTCATCATCCTCTGCTCCTCTGCCCTCCTCCTACCCCTCCTTCTCTTCATCACCCCCCCCGCCCCCCACACCACGGTTGCCAACACACGGTGTTCAATGCACTTCTGCACGTTTGCATGTCCCCCGTTTGCCGTGGATACCGTGGGTTCGAGCAGTTTGGGGTCATAGGGCATATTTGTTGTTCCTTGCACATCTGTTTCCTCCGTCTGCCCGCCCCCGCACCCCATTCCTCCTCCCTCGGCGGCCTCTTCTCCTCCCCGCCGCAGTGCGACTGACTTGCCTCGTATTCTTTATAACTTGACGTCAACGTTGTGTTATAACTTATAACATTGCTTCGAACGCAGTCAAGGGACGGCCTATGCCACCTGCAGAATGTAGAGTGTAGAGTTTTGCCTACGACGCGCCACGTGACCATACATATTGGCGGCACCGAACGCCACGCAGGTTCCCCAGCTGGCCATGCTTACCCGGCCTTTTGGCAGTTGTTTATTCTAGATTGAACTGTAGATGGTCAGCCCGGCCCTTCCTTCTCCTCATCCTCTCCTCCTCCTCGTCTCCCCCCCTACCCTGCTACCTGTCATCATCCTGGCGATCTTCGTAGTCCCCCTTCTGCGCGGGTTTTGTAGCACCAGACGTAGAGGGAGTTGGAATAAAGTCTGTTGCAAATTCGGAGTAATAGTTGTCGCAGTCGTTGTCGCAACAGCAGCGCTAGTTACGACTTGCAGTGAGCTTTGCTGGGGGATGCTGTACTGCGTGCGGCACGAAATGTTGTCCGATCCGGTCCACGAGCTGATGTTGGATGACGTGGCAAGATTCGGACTGACAGCTGTGCCACCGCTTAACATAGGAGGTGTAATGGGAGCTGTCCTGGATACTGCGCCAGGGTATCGTAGAAGGATCCGTCCCAGGATATACTGTATATATGACATAGGAACCGCAGCTAAAACTATATTACGACACCATAAGGAGCTGCATTTGGGGGCTCGTTGGCAGCTGCATTGGGGTGTGCACGACTAGTTGCAATTTGAAGTGTGGGGTACGCCTTCGTAGAAGCAACACTGGCATCTGTACGTCTGGCTGCCAGCCGTGTAGATTGCAGTGGTGGTTGAGCTAGGGCCTGAAGTAAGAGTTATGAAACGTGTTGCAGTATGTGTTGTAGCAAGAGTTGTACTGAAGGCTGTACCAGTGGCTGTGTCAGAGCTGCAGTTAGAATGTTCATCAGGCTTGCCGTCCACATGTAGTAGGAATTGCAGTGAAAGCTGCACTTCAGCCTGCAGTGGTTGCACAAAGGGAAGAATCAGGAGCTACAGCGGGAGATGCATTAGCAGCGCATGGTGGATTTTACGAGTATGTGTTATTCGAAGTTTGATGTGCGATCTCGTAGAATCAGCATTGGCGCATGTACCACGCGCTATTGTGTAGTGTAAATTGCGATGAGGGTTTCAACCGGATTTGATAGATGTTGCGTGTTAACCTGTAGTAGGAAGTGTTGTACGAGTTGTAGCGAGAGTTGTACTGGTGGTTGTGTGAGGGGCCTGCAGTTTGAGCTGTAGTAAGAAATTTTACGATTGGTCGCATATGGACTGCAACAGGACTTGTAGTAATGGCTGTGGAGCGAGCAGTTGTTACCAGCTGTATTCTGAGTTGTTGAATTGTTGTTTGCAAGAGATGTTGTGGGAGGCAACAGCAGCAGCTGTTGTGGGATCTGTATGTTGTGTCGCATTAGATGTTGCACCGGGAGTTGAATCGCTAACTGTGTCGGGGAGTTGAAGTTCGAATTGTATTCATATTATGTATATACGCTCTAGCAGGAATTCGAATGAGAGGTGTAGTAGTGGCTTTGCTAGAAACCGCATGTGAAGTTGGAGTGTGAGATGTGTTGGTACCTGTCTAGAAATCTGTCCTATCTGTCGCGGTTTCATATTTTGCCGGTGATGTCGGAGGGTCGGTGCTCCAGGCTTCCGTAGGATCAATACGGGCGGGTTGTGGGTTTGCAACAGGGGTTGCAGTTGATGCAGTCGGATGTGGAGCATGAGCTGCAGTCGGAGTTGTAGCAGCAATTGTGGTGAAAAGCGGGTCCGCGCTTTTAGTGGCAAGTTGTGGTTGGCGCCGTAGTAGATGTTGGAGTAAGTTGTTGCAGGAGTTGTCGAAGGAGTTGTGGCGGCAGATGCTTTCCTGGTAGCAGCAGGAAGTACGTTGACATTTCTTTTAAGAAGTTGCACCAGGAATCGTAGAACGGTCGCTGGTATGAGTTGTAGCGCAAGTTGCGGCAGTTGTAAAATTGATTGGAACATGAATTGTAGTAGGAGTTGTAATTTGAGCTGTACTGGACTGAACACTGCTCTACCATACGTAAATTGATTCGTCGCCGGAGCTGTCGCAAAAGCAGCTGTAGGACATGTAGTGAGAGCTGTGTGGGGCGCCGCGCAACTGGCTGCAATTGGGATTTGAATCGATTTCTGCAAGACCTGAAGTGAAGACGTCACAGTATGAGCCGCAACGAGAAACGTATCGTTTGCTCCTGGTGCGGACTGCAAAGGGAGCTTGACGATAGGTTGCGTAAGGGAACTGTAGTAAGAGTTGTAATAATGTGTGATGTTGGTTTGGCCATAGGAATTGTAGTGGGAGCTGTTTTAGTTGATGTGGAAGCAGTCGCAGTACGGGTTGCATTCTGAGATCTACTGGGAGGTGTAAGCGTAATTGTCGCAGGAGCTGTGGTCTGAATTGCGTTGGAACCTATACTTGTTCCTGTTAGTGGATTTGCGATAGGGACTGTACCAGAACGTGTAGGAGGAGCTGTTGTAGGAATTGTAGGAAGAGCTGTAGTGAAACTTGTTATGCGAATTGCACTAGGGAGTTGAGTACGGATTGGAATAGGAACGGTACAGGTGGCAGCAACAGAAGATGGGGCCAGGGCTTCAGCAACAGGAGTTGAGCGATCTTGACGTAGGGGTTGCAGAGTTGCACTGGACGCTGTAGTTTGGGATCTAGTAAAGAGCCAGCAGAGCTTGTAGCAGGAACGGTACCAATGGTTCTGGCAGGACGTGTAGTGAGAGTTGCGAGAGCATTACTATTCCCGACATGCTTCGTGGGGTTCGGGTTTTCTTCCCTGCCGCGCCGCACCCGCGACACACCTCACTCTTCGCACAGCACAGCTCAGCACAGCACAGCGCATCACAGCACAGCACAGCACAGCACAGCTCAGCTCAGCACAGCACACAGCTCAGCTCAGCTCAGCACACAGCACAGCTCAGCACAGCTCAGCACAGCCCAGCACGGCTCAGTTCAGCACAGCACAGCACAGCTCGTGGCACTTTCTCGGCACCAAAGGGGGTGCGCAGGGGGTGGTCTCTCAGCTCGGCCGCTATCCACGACACTGGCGCAAAGCCTAGCAGGCGTGGCACTCTCTCGGCACCAAAGGGGGTGGGCAGGGGGTGGTCTCTCAGCTCGGCCGCTATCCACGACATTGGCGCAAAGCCTAGCGGGCGTGGCACTTTCTCGACACCGCAGGGGGTGCGCAGGGGGTGGTCTCTCAGCTCGGCCGCTATCCACGACACTGGCGCAAAGCCTAGCAGGCGTGGCACTTTCTCGACACCACAGGGGGTGCGCAGCGGTTGGTCTCTCACCGCGGTCCCTATCCGCGACACTGGCGCAAAGCCTAGCAGGCGTGGCACTTTCTCGACACCAAAGGGGGTGGGCAGGGGGTGGTCTCTCAGCTCGGTCGCTATCCACGACACTGGCGCAAAGCCTAGCAGGCGTGGCACTTTCTCGACACCACAGGGGGTGCGCAGGGGGTGGTCTCTCAGCTCGGCCGCTATCAGCGCAAAGGCTAGCAGGCGTGGCACTTTCTCGACACCACAGGGGGTGCGCAGGGGGTGGTCTCTCAGCTCGGCCGCTATCCACGACACTGGCGCAAAGCCTAGCAGGCGTGGCACTTTCTCGACACCACAGGGGGTGCGCAGGGGGTGGTCTCTCAGCTCGGCCGCTATCCACGACACTGGCGCAAAGGCTAGCAGGCGTGGCATTTTCGCGACACCACAGGGGGTGCGCATGGGGTGGTCTCTCAGCTCGGCCGCTATCCGCGACACTGGCGCAAAGCCTAGCAGGCGTGGCACTTTCTCGACACCACACGGGGTGCGCAGGGGGTGGTCTCTCAGCTCGGCCGCTATCCACGGCATTGGCGCAAACCTAGCAAGCGTGGCACTTTCTCGACACCACAGGGGGTGCGCAGGGGGTGGTCTCTCACGGTCGCTATTCACGACACTGTCGCAAAGCCTAGCAGGCGTGGCACTTTCGCGACACCACACGGGGTGCGCAGGGTGTGGTCTCTCAGCTCGGCCGTTATCCACGACACTGGCGCAAAGCCTAGCAGGCGTGGCACTTTCTCGACACCACACGGGGTGCGCAGGGGGTGGTCTTTCAGCTCGGCCGCTATCCACGACACTGGCGCCAAAGCCTAGCAGGCGTGGCACTTTCTCGACAAGACAGGGGGTGCGCAGGGGGTGGTCTCTCAGCTCGGCCGCTATCCACGACACTGGCGCAAAGCCTAGCAGGCGTGGCACTTGCTCGACACCACAGGGGGTGCTCAGGGGGTGGTCTCTCAGCTCTGCCGCTATCCACGACACTGGCGCAAAGGCTAGCAGGCGTGGCACTTTCGCGACACCACAGGGGGTGCGCAGGGGGTGGTCTCTCAGCGGCCGCTATCCACGACACTGGCGCAAAGCTAGCAGGCGTGGCACTTCTCGACACCAAAGGGGGTGGGCAGGGGGTGGTCTCTCAGCTCGGCCGCTATCCACGACACTGGCGCAAAACCTAGCAGGCGTGGCACTTTCTCGACACCACAGGGGGTGCGCAGGGGGTGGTCTCTCAGCTCGGCCGCTATCCACGACACTGGCGCAAAGCCTAGCAGGCGTGGCACTTTCTCGACACCACAGGGGGTGCGCAGGGGGTGGTCTCTCAGCTCGGCCGCTATCCACGACACTGGCGCAAAGCCTAGCAGGCGTGGCACTTTCTCGACACCACAGGGGGTGGGCAGGGGGTGGTCTCTCAGCTCGGCCGCTATCCACGACACTGGCGCAAAGCCTAGCAGGCGTGGCACTTTCGCGACACCACAGGGGGTGCGCAGGGGGTGGTCTCTCAGCTCGGCCGCTATCCACGACACTGGCGCAAAGCTTAGCAGGCGCGGCACTTTCTCGACACCAAAGGGGGTGGGCAGGGGGTGGTCTCTCAGCTCGACCGCCACGACACTGGCAAAGCCTAGCAGGCGTGCATTTCTCTCACAAGGGGGTGCGCAGGGGGTGGTCTCTCAGCTCGGCCGCTATCCACGACACTGGCGCAAAGCCTAGCAGGCGTGGCACTTTCTCGACACCACAGGGGGTGCGCAGGGGGTGGTCTCTCAGCTCGGCCGCTATCCACGACACTGGCGCAAAGCCTAGCAGGCGTGGCACTTTCTCGACACCACAGGGGGTGCGCAGGGGGTGGTCTCTCAGCTCGGTCGCTATCCACGACACTGGCGCAAAGCCTAGCAGGCGTGGCACTTTCTCGACACCACAGGGGGTGCGCAGGGGGTGGTCTCTCAGCTCGGCCGCTATCCACGACACTGGCGCAAAGCCTAGCAGGCGTGGCACTTTCTCGACACCACACGGGGGTGCGCAGGGGGTGGTCTCTCAGCTCGGCCGCTATCCACGACACTGGCGCAAAGCCTAGCAGGCGTGGCACTTTCTCGACACCACAGGGGGTGCGCAGGGGGTGGTCTCTCAGCTCGGCCGCTATCCACGACACTGGCGCAAAGCCTAGCAGGCGTGGCACTTTCTCGACACCACAGGGGGTGCGCAGGGGGTGGTCTCTCAGCTCGGCCGCTATCCACGACACTGGCGCAAAGCCTAGCAGGCGTGGCACTTTCTCGACACCACAGGGGGTGCGCAGGGGGTGGTCTCTCAGCTCGGCCGCCATCCACGACACTGGCGCAAAGCCTAGCAGGCGTGGCACTTTCTCGACACCACAGGGGGTGCGCAGGGGGTGGTCTCTCAGCTCGGCCGCTATCCACGACACTGGCGCATCTGGCTAGCAGGCGTGGCACTTTCTCGACACCACAGGGGGTGCGCAGGGGGTGGTCTCTCAGCTCGGCCGCTATCCACGACACTGTCGCAAAGCCTAGTAGGCGTAGCACTTTCTGGACACCACAGGGGGTGCGCAGGGGGTGGTCTCTCAGCTCGGCCGCCATCCACGACATTGGCGCAAAGCCTAGCAGGGAGCATTCGCGACGAGGGCCCAGAACGCAGGATTGTGCATATATATATATATATATATATATATATTATACACATAAGCAAACACAGAAGATTTAAATTAAGTATGTGGGGTTCCTCGGTAGCGTAATTGGTTTTGGCACGGGTTATAATAAGAGTTATGTTGCGATAAGTTGTGGAAGTTGTACTGACATCTAGAAGGAATTGGCGCAGGAGTTGTAGTGAGAATTGCGTTGCTGGCTGTTGTGGGATATGGGTTGGGAAGTGTGGCGGGTGATGCAATAGAGGCAGCAGCCTTATCTATATCGATAGTTCTGGTTTGCGGAAAATTGGGAATTGGAGCGGCAGCTGCACTGTTGGCTTTTTAACGGGCAGTAGTCAGAGCTTGACTGTGAGTTGCACTGGAAATGTTGCTACTGCTTGTAGTTGGACCCGTAGTAGGAGCTAGAGAAAACTACGAAACACACGAGGAACAGGGACGGGAGCGGAAGGGAGCAACGAGGATCAGAGCGGAAGACATGAGGAGAGTGAGGGCGGACGTAAGGCCAATTTCAACAGTATGAACAATTAGGCGAGTTGCGTGAGGAATACGGGGGACAGGGCACAGCGTCATGGGAAGAGAGGGAGGTTTGGTTAATAGAGTGAGGGAGAGCAGGATAGCGAAAGAGAAAGAAAGAGCAAGAGAGGGACAGAGAGATAGAGAGAGAGGAGCGGTCTCTGAAATCCATTGTGTTATCAGGTTCCCCAATTCCTGCGATTTGTCACGCCAGCTGTGTGTGTACATCAAAAGTTGTTTTCAATGTTCAGAGTTCCTGGAGAGATTGCGCAAGCTGGACAGTCTCCCCAGGAAACGTGAAGGCACATGACAAATCGTAAGCATCAAAACGATACAGCGTTGAGCGTTTCCGAAAGTCTTGCAATTAAGGACAGGTGTCTCGTTATATATGTTATCATGTCTTTTTGATGCTCAGTTTTCC